GTGGCGGGCCAGCAGGGAGGCTAAACAGGTCGTCCAATCTATCAAGAAGGATTGGGCGCACCCGCTCCTATCCTGTCGATCCTCTTTTTTTTCACCAATTCTGATTCTGGCCTTCTCGGTTACCGCCAAACCCTCCCTCCTTTTCTGTTGCCACCCAAAGGGGAGCTTCCCTTCATTTTTTTTTTCTATTAGCTATTATATATGTATGTGTTTGCTAAATTATGGTTATGTTCTAGTGAGTTTTCATTTCATATTTTTGTAGAAGACTTTGTTTTCCTTTCTGAGGGTTATATCCGACAACAGGTGATGCTTCGGTTGTATCCTGCTCCGAAATGGTGTTGTATCCTCTCCAATTTCGTCCCTACATTCTTCCTCACCTGCTCTTACTGTCGGCCAGTCGCCCCTTTGCCAAGTTCCTGCCGCCAACCCAATGAGCTGCCTTCTGACCTACCCAACCAGCCACCCGTCTCCCCCATAACTCACCTGCTTACCACACCTCCTTCCCTACCTCCTTGCTGAACAACCCTTAATGTTTCCCCCTTCTCCTAGCCACCGGCCAACTTAGAACCCACCTTCCAACCACATCCTCCACTCCACTACCACTAAAATTCCCAACCAACTTTGCCGCCACCACAGCCGCTGACCTCGGATCTTCTATTCCGGCCCTGGCCAAGGTTTAGCATTTGTTGCACTTTTCATTTCAGTTTTGAGTCGTGTTTGCAATCCTAGTCATTTGTTTAATGAAAATTGATTCCGTTACCGCTCTTTTGATTAGTTCCAGTATCAACAACGCTCAAAAAATTGGTAAAATGCTAGAAATTAAAGAAAAATAATTACAAATTCTAAAAAACTAAGAAAGACAATCACTACAGCTAGCAGAATCCAGGAAATAATTTAAGAATCTGCTTTCCAGCTATACTCAACAGCCCATAAGATCCAAGAATTAATTCAATGATTGGGCACAGCTAGTCCTCATAACAGTTGCCCTCAAGCTGTAGAGCAGAGGTTCTCGATGCCTAAGTTAATGATCACATTCTAGAATCTAGAGCTTGAAAGTCCTTTGGTTAGGATATCAGCTGGTTGCTTAATTAATCAAAGACATGGGAATACATATCAATGCACTATAAAATTTTTCCTTCCTATAATGTCAACGAATTTTTGAATGTTCTGTTCGGCCAGGCTAGATTGAGCTGAATTCAACTTCAATGGTTGGTAATCGCAATATAAGTTCGTAAAATCTCCCTATTTTATTCCTAAGACATTTAGGATAATTTAATCCAGCTAATTCACATATTCATTGATTCACTTTATGAAATTCAGCTTCAGATTTTCAATGTTTCGAACTTCTCCAGGTGATTATATTTTTTCTTAAGATGTCGCAGTATCTAATAGTGGATTTCCAATTCATGAGAGATATTGCCTAGCCAGCAACTACGTACACTTTTAAGCTGAATCCTTCATTACTTTTAGGTAATAGTTATTTTCATATTATTGCTATAAGATATTGGACATTTAATATGCAGCTTGTAAATATACTTCTTTAAGAAAATGCATGAATTCGCTTAGAACACTTAAGTCATATTATAGATCTAGCCACGTATAGAAAAACTAAATAAAATTTCCAATTAGTCTTGGATACATCTTTTGTCAACTTTTGAGCTGTTGCTAATCCCCAAGCCTATGACAGCAATCCATTGGGATTTCAGAGTGCTTGCAACCCATAATACATTTGTCATTAAGCATATCAAGAATCCATTTTTCCTTCCTTTTTTTTTTTTTTTTTTTTAACGGTCCTCGGCTTCCGAGTGGGCAACTTTTATTCCAAGTGCTAGAGTTTTCCATAATATTTTACTTAAATTTTATTTATTGTTGATCATCTAATCTCCTCATTCCATCGTATTCATCGCCCACTATAATTACGGTTACCTTGGATCTTTTCATGAACAACATGGCCTCAGAGGCTTTGATTGAAATTTTCATTGTCAAGGGTGGTGAACCTCACAAATCAAGCTAAGGATTGTTTGAGTTCATACAGCCTTTTTTCCTATATACCTAACCGGCATTGAATCCATGATCAAAACTTGTTGGTAGCTACACATAAGCATCTTCTTCTAGTTCACTATATAAAAAACATTTTTTACAACAAATTATTGTAAGAATTAGTTGAGATCGGTCGTTAGAGAAAGTGGTATCCGGACGTGATTTAACTTTGCAAGGGGTGCAAATGTCCCATCATAATCAATTCATAAATTTTAGTGTAGTTTTTTGCAATGAGCCTAATTTTGTACCTTTCAAGGGTTGCATTTGCATTGTATTTGATTGTGTAAGGCTGTACCCACTTGCATCCTTTTTTTTTCTTTTTTTCTTCAAAGAATTATTCGACCTTCCAAGCTTAGTTTTATTTCAGGGATCTCATTTCTTCAATCATGACCTTTTCCATTCTTAATTTTCAAGTATTACTTAGATAGTTCTTAAAATCTTAATATAATTTATCTCAGTAAGGATGGCATTGTTGGATGTTATAAAGTAGATAAATAAATAAAGTTGACTATTGGATGATGAATGCATTTGATAAACCCTTTTTATGAGCAATGGGAAGATAGATATCATGAATATCATGATAGTTTTGAGTTTTACTACTAGAGTCCATACCATCATTATAAGTGAGTTGATTTTAAATTGAAGGTTTTCTTGCTCCCCTTAGCATACCTTATATTTGAAAATTGTATGTTCTTTTGCTCTAAATAAAATAAAATTTCCTTCAAAAGTAAGCTGCAGAAAGCAGTGAAATCAGTTTCACTAAGTAAAATAAGGATAGGAATTTGGAAACTCGGCTAGCATTACCACTTTGAGCCATCCTTTACATTTGAAATGTTGAACAAGTCCAGTGATTTGTTTTGAAGATCAGTGAAATCAGTTTCACGAAGCTGGTCCCCGAAATAATTTATGGGAAGAAGAATAAACATCCCTAAAACCGCAGCAACAGAAAATACTTTCAAACTGCATTAAAGATTAAAAAAACTTCATTAGAACAAAAGCAACAAATATAGTAGATATCATATGTACAAGAGCAACAAGTACTTATAAAAGCGACAAGTCCCCAAAATAGTTAATGAGAAGTAAGGGTTCCAACCAAGGACAAAAGGAGAGGGTGATTAATGAGATATCAAACTAAATGAAACTCAGTGATAAGGATGACAAGCAAAATGAAGATGTAGTGTTTGTAAATTGTAATGCCTAATTTTTTAAAAGTATAATTGCAAAATATCCAAATAAATTATACCCAAAATTTTAACTTTATCAAAACCTATAAAAACCGATTTTATTGCATTCTATCATTCAAAATGAACATTTTATATATAGAATTAAATGCTATTCCTTAAAAAACAGAACATTATAAAATTAATTTCCATTTTGATTAATATTTCTGAAATTTTTAACTAATTTTTATTGTGCTCTTTACTGCAGCACACCAGTGGAATCTGCTATTTTTTTCTGCTCTGGGCATTTAACAATTGATAAAATTGAATGGATGTGATGATTTAGTTAAAATATATATAAATGTTAGAAGTTATAATAGAAAATAATTTATTCCTATTAAAAGTTATGAGGATTAGATTTACTTCTTAATATAACTTTATTTCCTTTTATATTTTAGATTTAATTTATTTTTTATTTTAGACTTTCCTATTTTATGTTGTTTCTTTTATTTCCAAATAATTAATATGAATTGATTAATTGGAGATATGAAGTGTTATATTTTTCTTTCATGTTATTTCTTTTTTATTGACTTCCCTAGTCTAAAATTTATATAAGGTTTATTTATACCCTCTTTCATATCAATAAAAATATACCGCATTATTTCGAATTTTAGCATGGTATCAGAGACTTGAAACAAACCCTAGAATCTTCTGTCGCAGAAAAACTTTCTATTCCCTGCAGCCAGCAATCTTTGTCGTGGTCGGGAATCTTTGCCATGTTGCATGCCCGTCCTCTACCTCCTGTTTTCAATCTTTGCCAAAACTCCCTCCTACAGCTTTTCCCGCAGCCATAATTCCCTCCCTGCAGGCCCTAGCCACAAGAGCTCTTTTTTGCATGAACTAGCCGTCGGAACTCTCCTCCAAAAAGCCTTCGTGAAGTATTACAAAGGCATCGTGAAGTTGCTAAGAAGGCCAAGATTGAATTTCTTCAACATCCCAAACTCACATTAACCTCCCCTTCATAATAGTTGTGCATTAGGAATGAAGCATCTAAATATTACTTTGACAGGACCTAAATTTTGAGTGCTTGGTGAATAATTTGATTGAGGACTAGAAATCCATGCAAGAGTTGTTTAAAGGATGCAGGAATAGCTTCTAAAGACGTGGATGAGGTTCTGCTTTTAGGACGAATGACACGAGTGCCTAGAATTCAGAAAATAGTTTAGAAGATCTTTAAGAAGGTATCAAGCAAAGGTGTAAATCCCGATGAAGCTGTTACGTTGGGAGCCGATATTCAAGGTGGGAATCTCAGAGGAGATGTTAAGGAATTACTTCTCTTGGTTGTGACTCCGTTGTTTCTTGTAATCGAGACTCTTGGTGATATTTTCACCATATTGATTACCAGAGACACTACCATTCCTACAAAGAAGGGCCTATTTGGGATAGCTTATTTGGTGCGATGGCGCTTTGAAAATACATCAAGTCTGTTTGGGTAAATTGTTTTTTGGCAGCTTATGCATTTTCAATACGCTAAAAACAATGTTTTTACACCGCACCTATCTAGGGATAGGTGCGATGGCAGCTTTCTGGCTACGGTCTAGTTTTTTCAAAAAAAAATAAAAATTTGTAATAGCCACTGTACCTAGCTTATCAACAAATTATCAAATTATTTTTAATCAGTTTTATCAGCAGATTATTCAATAAGTTGCAGCTGCCCCAAACAAACCCGAAGAGTAAGTCATTCTCCACTGCAATTGATAATCAAACCTAGGTAGGTGTCTGGATTATACAGGGCAAACGCAAGATTGCTTCTGATAATAAACGAACTCGAGCTCATCGGCATTCTTACGACACCGCGAGACTTGCCCCATATTGAGGCCACCTTCGAAATCAGCACAAACGGCATTGTTGTCGACTCAGCCAACTAGAAAGGAGCGGCATCAATGTTTCTTTTCCTGAACAATTGTGCTGAGGGAGATCATTAAGTCCCAAAAGGGCACAAGTTTTTTTTTACAACTGACCCCCAGAGCTTTTCCTGCAGCAGGCCTCCTTCGAAACTTTTTCCTACAGCAGGTTTTCCTCTGGAGCTTTCCCTACAGTAGGCTTTTCTCTAAGCTTTTCCTGCAGCAAACTTTCCTCTGGGTTTTTCCTACAGCAAACTTTCCTCTGGGTTTTTCCTACAGCAAACCCTCCTCCAAAGCTTTTCATGCATTAGAATTTTTGGAGTTTTTCTACAACAGACCCCCCAAGCTATTTCCCGTATCAGACCAGAGCTTTTCCTGCAACAAATCCTCCACCGGAATTCTTCTTGCAGTAGACCCTCATCCGAAGTCTTTTGCTGCATCAGGCCCTCCTCCGGAACTTTTTTCTGTCTCAAGATCTCCTTCGGAGTTTCTCCTGCAACAGGTCCTCTACTGGAATTCTTCGAGTAGCAGCCACTCCTCCAGAGTCTTTTCCTGCATCAAGCTCTCCAAAACTTTTTCTTGCGACAGGTCCACCAGAATTCTTCTTGCACCATACCCTCCTTTAGGACATTTTCCTGCATGAGGCCCTCTGAAATTTTTCCTGCAGCAGACCCTCTTCTAGAGTTTGCCCTGCAGCAGTCCCTCCTCCGAAGTTATTTCTCGTATGAGCCACTCAACCACAGTTTTTCCTATAGCAGACCCTCTAATTGAATTTTTCTTATAGCAAACCCTCCTCTAGAGCATTTTCCTGCAGCAAGACCTACCTCTGGGGCTATTCCATTATTTTTTTCTTTTTTCTACAAGTCATGCCCTGCAACTTTTCGTGTTGATTATCTATTTCACTGCAAGTTTCCCTGCAACATTACCTATAGGAGTCTTATGTCTGCATACAGATACCGCAAGAACTGCAGTCAAAGATAATCACAATCAACTAGAAGTCAGCTTTCCCTGTAGGTTATCTACTTCCCTATAAACTCCTCTGCAATATTGTTTGTAGGAGTCCTCCTGCTATCTATAGGCACTGCAGGAACTGCAGTCAAAGACAACAACACTACGAGATGAAGAATTAAAATGCTACTTCATAAGATCTTCCTTGTCCATTACTTGATGTTTTCATATCCAAGTTGAACATAATTTTCAACCATGTTTCAACTTGAGAGAGAGTGTTAGAAGTTGTATTGGGAAAAAATTTATTCCTAGTAGAAATTAAGAAGATTTGATTTAACCAAATATAACTTTATTTTTTACTTATTTTAGATTTATTTTCTTATATTGGATTTATTTTTTTCCTATTTTAGGTTTTTCTATTTTATGCTGTTTCATTTATCTCTAAATAATTAATATGAATTGATTAATTAAAGATATTATGTTGTATATATTTTCTTTCCTATTATTTCTTTTTTAATGTCTTGCCTAGTCTAAGATTCATGTAGAAGTTATTTATACTCCTCTCATATTAATAAAAATATTTTGTCTTATTTTGAATTTTAACAATATATATTAGTATCCACGATTATGTAATAGCTTATTAAGTAATTTATTTATATCACTCTCCGCTCATTTCCAGCAAATTTTCCTTTCTATGAACATCTGGCGACAAAAAAAGTTGCAATTTGCAGGGAAGTGGAAGGGAAATGAGGAAAAGAGAATAAGAGAAAGAAGAAGAAAAAGAAGAGGAGAAAAATATAAGGAGAAGAGGGAGGAGAGGAAGGGAAGAAAGAAAAACAGGTAAAGTACAAAATTTAGATTTTGATTCCAAATTTGAATTTTGATATTTTTCTTAATGAATCAATTTCTGGTCATAGTGATAGGTTTATAGGCCGGTATGAGGAGAAGCTATTGTGAGACCATTTATAAAAGGAACGTCTCAGGGAGTTCAATTCAGATGAGTGAATTATCAAGTGAGCAAGATTTAAAAATTCTAACACAAATCAAAATTCCTTCAATTTTTGCATGGGTATTTATGAGTAAATTAGATTGAAGATTGTAACACATTAAAAATCCTTCATATGGGAGAAAGCATGTTCACGACGTACCATTTATGGTAAATGACTACACAATATTTCAATTCAATTTAGCTCACAATTAAATGCTTTATGGTTATACAAATATTGTGTTAGTTGGATGTATTTTTTAAAAAATACATTTAGTATCTATAAAGAGCACATTTGTATACATTATTATTCAACCTTTTGTAAATTTAAACATGTGTTTATTTAAATGTTCAATAATGAAAATATATTGACCTTAAAAAATATCATGATATAAGAGATAAGTTGGTAATGACATATTTTACAACATTTGCAAAATTGGGAGACAAACGTGAACCCATAAATGCATATGATAACTTATAGAAGTACGACAACAAAGATAAGCCCCTAAATGAATATCGAATCTGTACAGGTAAGTAACAAATGTGAGTCATATGAAGGCCAAAGGGCCCTCAAGTTAATATGCTTATAACACCTATTCAGGCATTACAATATATATGAGCCCAACCATTGAATTTAGGGTTTGTTTGGAGCAGTTTAAAACTACGGCCAGCATTTTGAAAACGTTATCATACTTTTTGTTTTTCACGCTATCCAGCTTATGGCAAAACGGCGTTTTTAATATGTTAAAGAAGCGGCCCGCAGAGATCACCCCATGGGCCGCATTTCATTCCAGATTATTCCTTCGCTGCCCTCGGCTCGCCAGGTTAACCTATCGCGTTCCTCCTCTTCCATAGCTGCACCTCCCTCCATCTTCGACAAACCTTCTTGACAGGTAAGCACGGCTTTTTTTTCATTGCTCCTTTGTGTTTTTATTCTTCTGTTGCACTATCAGCTGCCCTCGCCTCACCAGGTAAACACAACGGTTGCACTATTCTTCTCGGCTAGGGTAGCATTAACTGCTCCTTAGCATTTTTATTCTCTTGTTGCACTATCCGCTCCTCTGCTCTCCTTTGTGGATTTTTTTTTTTTTGGTTGTTGTGGAAGATGAACTTGCCTTTGTGGGTTTTTTTTTTTTGTTGTTGTGGAAGATGAACTTGGTAAACCCGTTTTAGCCTCTCCTCTATTCTTTTTTGTTTTATTTTTTTATAATTTGCTTAATTTTTTCATCTATTTATGTTCTCCTTAGTATTCTAGAAATATATATATATATATATGAGATCTAGATATGGTTCTTTCTTAGACACTTGAGCCTTGACTTCTGTACGATTAAAAGGGAAAATGTTGCACATCTAAAACATAAATGTGTCTCTAATTGATGCTCTCATTTGGTTATGTAGGAGATTATAATTTGTTTTTAGAACTAAAACCTATTGTATGATTTTAGACTTTTAACTTCATATTGATTGAAAACTGGGAAAGTAAATGCTGATGTTAGAGAAAACTTAATCAAAATGAGGGGCAGAATGGTCATTTATCCAGAAATAGTTGCAAATCAAATGTTTTCGAAACGCACAAACCAAAATTTCAACCAGGATAAGCTGTTGATCAGCAGCTTATCAAAATAAGTTGCTTATCTAGATAAGTTGCAGCTGTCTCAAACATACCATTAATCTCATACATATGGTATGTTATAACGCCATGACAAAATATTTCATTTTATGCTAAATAACAATTAAGATAAGAGAGAAAAAATATATATATAAAATTAAATTAACCTGATATCAACCATATATAAGTTAAAAAAATATTTATAAATTGTAAATATTTATTTAAAATTCTTTCAGAAAAATATTTTATTTTTTATTAAATGAATTGTGTTGTTCAAATGATTGTTTTACAATGATTATAAGGATTTGACTTTACTTATTTTAAACTCTCAAATTATTTTATTTCTATATTAGACTTAATTTATCTAGGTGAGTCTCCTAGGTCACTAAGTTGTTATAACTATTTTTTTTAGAAAAAGGAAATGAAAAAAATTGAGTTAAGTAGAATAAGTAAAAATTTAATGATCATATTGGCTAATACAACTATTATAAGATAAATAAATTTTGAGGTAATTCTACAAATGATATTTATGTTTTTGCAACAATTTTTGGGATATTTTAAAATATTTTGTAGATACATTCAAATAGAATATGTTAAATTGATTTCATTTAATATGAATAGTCTAATTTGATTTGAGTAGTATATCATGTATTATTCAAGATGAATTTAGGTGATTGAATTTATCTTTCACTAAATTTTGGTGCATAAAATAGCAGAAGGCATATTGGAGGTATCCTCGATTAGTTTAATTGTATCCACTGCTGTGACATTCTGTGTCAACTGGTAAAGGGAGTTGCCGTAGGGCGTGACAATGCTTGTGAAGCGTGCATCACTTAAAAAATTCATCTCCTCAATTAAAAAACAAGTACACAACAAAATCATATGAAAAACTTAGCATAGATAAAGCACAGAAAAAAAATAACAAGGGAGCACCCTCCAACTTAAGTCGATTCCAACAAGCTATTTATAAGAGTGCCTTGAGTTCAACATTGCAAGCTTACCTAAACAAAAAATAACAGTCTTCTAGAGTACTTGGGTGTCTATGTGGTTGGACGTGTAACCCTACAATATTTATACAATGCTTTTCAAAAAAACAAATTCCCTTCTAAGGAGTATTCGAGAAAAACACAACGAGAACAACGAGATCAGTAATGTAAGATGAACATAGCTCATAGAGACACTAGCAACGAGAAGTGACAATGAAGAGTTGGCAAACCGAATATTTTCTCATATACATTAGATCAATTTTATGCAATTCGCAAGCACATGAATAGGATCATTGTTGAATGGGCATAGATGGGTTTAATTGCCTTAGAATATTACCTTTTATCTGATTTTTTATTGCTTTTTTAATTACTTTTAATCAACAATTACATTTCGGCAATCTTCACGAATAACTTAATTACATGAGCCAATGGCTTCATTGCCTTGACGAAAATGATTGAGCCGGATAAAATAACATAATCAATTCAACTCAAACCGATAGAGGTATGCATTAGTTCATTAATTTCATTGCGTAAGGGAGTAGTAATAAGACAAATAAATGAAGTGAAATCTCACATATTAAGTAAATGTTTAATAAAGTTGATCGAAAAAGCAATGAATATGGATTGTGCATTCGAGATGTCAAAGCTCCACATTGTGACACCATATGCATTTTTTGAAACCAATAGTTTAAATTCGAGTTATTCTAACACCAGAAAAATAAATTGTCCGTTGTTTTTCAAAATCCTATCATTCGTGCTCAACAACTCAATTTGTTTTATAGAAGACTTTCGTGATCTCCCAAATTAACACATGGCTTGCAAGATCAAAAGAAAGCGAGTTGTCAAACACCTCCGCCAAACAAACCTTCTATGATGGGTGATTCTCTGGTAGTGTCTTCAGAAAATTTTTATGTTGCCTTGCTTTTGAAGACATTTTTTTTTTCCTTCAACGCCAATAACTCTTCTTTCTCGCCTATTCCCAAATTCTATATTTTCATTTCACCATTTAAACTACGTGCCAAAAGACGTTGTGCATACATTGTATGTCTGTCTACATCTCCTGTTCATGCCTTCATAGTGGATTCACTTCTTTTTTTATCAATCCACAGTCACAAACCTACAACTGTGTTCTCTTCTCTTAATTTGCCTCTCACTTCTAGTTTCCTTGCCTCTAGTGCCTGCAACCATCTCACTAACTAAAAATCCAACATTCTCTCCATCTATGAAGATACGAGTGACAAAGATATCTGCATTTTCACCGAGCATTCAGTTAACCAGTCTTTTCTTCCCTCATGTATTTTGACTCTCCATAAAGATGGATTCTCATTTAGACATGATATCAAATATTTATCCACATGATTTTCCTTTCTCTTCTTTTATCTAAAAAAATTAAGATTATAAGGTTCAATCCTCTTTGGACTTGCGAGGCTCAAGGAGATGACTATCAGAGAAAAATACATATAAAAATTTTTCCCAAGAAAGAGTAGTATGGGGCTTGAAAAAAGATAAGAGTGCGAGAAATCCTCCAAAAGAGGTGTTCCCCGCCATCCAAAAAATATCTCATGCTTAGAATATCGAACCCCAATTTATTTGCTTGGCAAAACAAAAATTAAACATAGTCCAGGTAATCAAACATCTTGGTAACTGGATCTATAGCCTTACTTGAATAAAGTGCATGTCGTTTCGTGTGTTCCACTTTGTGCGAGTACTCGTGAAAAATATTGCAGTATTGATATGGCTAACTGGATATTGTGAATGAGATGTGAGTAACGACTATTAGGTTGATCACCGCGTTGAAAAAGTGCAAAGCAAGTACAAGCATCCGAGTAACCCTCGTTGGGTATGTAGAAGGTTCGCCTTACGCAGAAATCCTTTTGTGGGGTTTTTAGCCGAATTTGAACCGACTTATAGCAGACAAACCCTCTTGGGCGACCCGTTGGGATGACTGAATCCAATGAACCAGGTATCAAGGGGACAGGCCCAAATCATTAAAACAATGGCCAATCTCAACGTACTGGTATTGATAGTCAAATCATCCCACTATATTCATACCAGGGAATTCACAAGGCGATTAAACCCGGAATTTGAACCAGCCAGCATTATCGATTCAATTACTTTCGATTTACGCAATTTCATTAAAATTCGCCCCCAAATGAGCAAAGGTTCCATCAATAGCATATGTTCTTAGAAATCATAAATCATATCAAATGGAATATGAACAAACCAGAAGGTGTAAATCATAACCAATGGAATATGAACAAACCAGAAGGTGAAGATCCTTATGAAGACGAGAGCGTCCAAACCGCATGAAGCCAGGAACTCCTCTTCCCTCCCATGCTTTCCTCAACCATCCCGGGTTCGGCACAAGCCTATCCAAGTTAAACTCCCTACTTCTCTGCGCTTTCCCCTCGACAACTAGCCTCGGTGCATAGACCTCGATGTTCCCCGGCTGCTTTTTGAGGACGGAATAAATCGCAAACAACAGCACGCAGAGCCCCAAGTTGATGCCGACGGAAGTGAGAAGGGCAGAGACGATCATTTTTTTCGAGAAGAAACCGAACCACAACCGAGGAAATTCGCCGGAACGAAAAAGAGAGAAATGGGGGGTGGTGGAGGGCGGGGAAGTTAACATAAAAGAGGAAGGCTTGTAGCGGTATCGGGATTTGAATGTTATCGTATCGGATATCGGTTTCCGAAACCGGTAACAAATGTCGTCGCGCTTTCTCCGCTGCACGCGTGTGGACGTGGCTGCACGTGCCGCTCTTTTATCGATCGATTGGGCTTTTGACGCCGACTTGCATGCCTGCCACGTGGAGCAAAAAAAATATTATATAGGTATAATGATAAAAAATAAAGTTTCTTTAATATAAATCTATTATCCACGTCACGTGACAAGGACTGAAATAATTATATTTACATGGTGAGGGACAAGTTTACAATAAACGATTTTTTTAATCGAAAATTCTACCTATTTGCACATAAAAAATGTGAGTAATAGAATTGAGGGGATCTAAGGGCTCAATAATACAAGTATGTGGACTATTTGTCTTCCCTGTTCGTCCAAGCTCAAGCTAATAAGGTTAAAGCTTATCTAGCAATGAAGAGGGCAAAAAGATGACAAAATGAGTTCGATTATAACTGAGATAAATTGACATCCGAATTTACAACCACGAAAAAGTTAGCCCATGGGAAGACTCAATCTTTCAGCATCTTCAATTATATTGGGAACGTCTAAAATTCTCTTTATCTGTTCTCAAGGGTCGACAACTATACTTGATCAGCCAACCGACAACACTAACCAAGCCTAGCCCACTGAACAGATGCTACCGACACGAAGTCAATCGAGCTGAACATATCAAGTCAGAGAGCAATCAAGTGACAGGCTCTTACATATAAAATACTAGGAACATCACGTTCAACTCTCTTAGAAGTATGGTTAAGAATATAATATCATCATATTGTATCTTCTTCAGAATAAATATAGAAATCATTTTATGATAAAAATATAAATTACTATTCATATCATTGGGTTTACTTTCTCTTACTTATACTATTTCTTGAGTGTAATTCAATCACAAATCCTAATCCAGCACTATCACAAATAATTTTTTTTTTTTGTATTTCAATATATAATACATACAAATTCATACTTATATTTGCAATCATGTTAAAAAGATTCGGGTGTTTTACATATTTATATGAAAATATATATGTCGTATGCGTAAATATGTACAAAATATATGTTGTGTAATTAAATGCCTTTTTTTTTTATTTTATGCATGAATGATTCGAATAATTTACAAATAATTAAAATATCAAAAAAGTTCAATATGATACATGAAATTTCTTAAATGTAGCGTATCTTGAAAAACTATTATCAATTTTAAATAGAGTTATTTTAATATAAATATGGTTTTCATATTTCCTCTTATTAGTAGTACAAATGTGCCATCTCCTTCCTTAATTTTATATGATCATTTAAAAGTGTGGAAGGAAAATTGGGGGCCAACACGTTCACGCTCATTAGGTGTAAAGAAATTTATATATGTTGTTGATGGGTGAATATTTGGCATATAATGGCTTCTTTTCATATAAGAAAAATTTCTTATTTGCTTATATACTTAAATATTCCGGAATTAAAAATAACATTTGGTCTATATAAACGATATGTCATCACAATTTTAACGTCTTACATTAATCCCGAGGCTTGACAAGTATCTCGATGCAACTTTTAGAGAGATACGTGTTCAATTTGTTATTAAAAACCATTCAAAATTTTGATTTCAACAAGCATAGTCGAACTGACCAACTCGACAAGATAGACACAATAGTACAAAAATTGGTCTAATCATAACAAAATCGGCTCTGGCTGGTTTAAAACAAACCATATTTTGTAAGCTTACAATGCATTATTTGAAAATTGTTTGAATTCATTTTTTATCTGTAGAAAAGTCTCTCCTATACTTTATAACTAGGGCTTTGCCCCCCGTCTTGAGAAAGGGGGAAGACCTTTGAGTCAAAAGATGATTGAAGCTTAGAGGAGTTGAAGTCCAACAACGTATTTGCATCTCAGATCCAGCAAATACCTCACACTCCTGCAACTGGCGACCATTGTCGACCATCGCCCATCGACCACCATCGAACACCGTCGGCTGCCCCTGATTGGCCGCAATGAAACCATTTGCGAAATCATGGCATACGCTACAAAATCCTGACATGCATTCCAGAGTAACGAGATCTCCTATGAATAACACACCCAAAATAAGGTGCAAAAACACACCCTAATAATAATATAACAACGTGACCCACAAACGATACAATGATACCTCCCAAAAATGGTGTAACGATGCACTCCGAAAATATTAAATTTCTTTGGACTTCTGAATCTCTCTTATTGCAACCAAACATGACGACATACTTAACGAATTATGCCCTGCACGGCTTACAGATTCTACAGCTCCAGACTCCGGCCCCCGTGGTCTGCTGATGTCATCCCAACTCATCGATACGGCCTATGTGAGCAACAAGGACATAATTGTCCCGCAGCTCGTACAGCTCCCAGCTGCAATTTAGGGATGTCATTGTCGCTCACCACTATGTCCTACATGACCGACTATAACCTATGTGGCTCGCAATTTGTATAGCTCATGACTTTGGCCCTTGCAGTCTGTGAACGTCATCAAAGCTCACCGTTACAACATACATAACTCACATCTCTTGCAGCTTCCTAGTACGACCTTTGTGGTCAATCAACGTTTCTAAAACAACCATCTACAACTCACATGACTAACTAGTTACGCGGCCTTCAATTATGGCTTATACGACAAGTTAGTGCTAGATTCACCATCCCTAACACTCATGACGAACTTTTGCATCTATATTAATCGACTACGACCTTTACAACCTGCCATCATCGAGAACTACGTTTATTACAGCAAAATTATGGGCACTATCAATGAATTGTTATTGTACATTTCTGATGATCAATTTTGTAACTATGTATTTCATGATTCAAAGAGAAAATTACATGCATGTTCACTGTTCATCGTGAATTATTTTACTGAGCTAGGTTTTGTTGTCTTTTCCCCTTTATATGTGTTTCTGTGTAAAAATTTAGGTGTTTACTTCTTATTATTCACTTTTAATTACACAATTGTGTGATTGGTTTTTGCATGACTTTAAGACGAGATTTCAGTACTATATCGTCACGGACCTTCCCACACACATCAAGAAATAATCATGGCATGCAATGATTATAAATTTGTTTATACAATTTGACAATAAATATTTTTTGTTTCAGTACATATGACTCAATTTCTATCTATTTACATATCGTATGACTAAAATTTTAATATTTACATATATGTCACCTTGCCTCTGGATAAGAAGATGCATTTTACTTTTCAAAAGTTAAAGAAAATTAAATTTTGTTGTGATATGAAAGATTTGGATAACTCAAATATAAATAGTAAATTTTACATGGTAGATATATAAATACGTAAGAAATAGGTGGTATGTATATAAATGCCTAAAAAATAAATTGTTTCAAGAACTTATAAGTAGTAATATCTTAAAAAACTTATTTTTTTGACAAAAATATTATTGCATGCTAAACAAATTATGATAATCATGTGATAATTTAATATTTTTGTGTTGTATGAGAACCTAACAAACATGCAACTAAAAGAAAAGTAGCAGGTAGAGACACTAAAACTTTTATATTGAAAATTCTTGGAACGAGAAATAGTCACGGGGCCTAGCCAAGTAAGGTAATCCACTTTGTGCTTATAAATATAGGGGTGCTCCATAATCGTGCAATCGGATGAACAGGGTTATAATCATATACCGAGAATTATACTCGCTTACGTCTCTACATAGGTTAAACTCAATAGTCATATTTGGACCATGACAGTTGCAAGCAGGGGTCATCGACGACCTGTGGCCAATGACAGCAAGCAGCGATGGCGAGCAGTGGGCAACTATGCGCTACACGCAACAATCGATTGTGATAGGTGGCTACGGAGAGTGGTGATTATCGCAATGTATTCTCTATATAACAGACTTGAGATTTCTTTTATTCTCCTCTTCCTCAAGGAAAGAAAGGGGCCTACTTATATAATTTTTAGGAGGGACATTTTTGTCATTTAACACAACTTCCTTGATCACATTATCAAATGCTCCATGTTGATCTCCCTTAATCACATATAAAATCTTAATGATATGATTATCTTAATGGCATCATAATTTTGTGTTCGTAGAATAGTTGGACTCTTCTCATCTAGACACACGATTCAACTATAAAAAAGTCAAATTTGGATTTCATTTGACCATTTAATTAATGATCTAAATCCTCCAAACAAGCTTTAATGATTTGATTTGTGATTGACTAGGCCCAAATTGAACCAATTTTGGTACCACTAGGTTTGCCTTGTCAAGATGATCATTTTAATTATAAAATTGCTAAAGTTGATCCTCAAATAACCTTGAAGCTGAAATTATTAGTTTCTTCATAAAAAAATATATCGAGATTCATACTTAATAAAAAAATTGTTGATGTGCATCAAATATATTTTTCTTGCATCTTGATGTATGTCAAATGATTTATGGTTTTAGAAAGATTTGTGCAATAACCCAATACACAATTGGATAATTGAAAAGAAGTAAATAGGATGAAACATCTCATTTTTTATGTGAAAGACCTTGAAGAGAGGAAAAATTCATGGAACCTAGTTTAGTTGATACAAATCACTGTGAATGATGAACACGCAGGTTCACTCTTCTCTTTAATTAGATAAGATGAAGGCATAAGGTTGATCATTGTAAATGTATAATAGTATTTCATTGATAATAGCCGTGATTTAGTAGTAATGAATGTAGTTTTTTTGTGATAGCAGGTTGCAATGGAGGTAGTCAATTGCTATTAGGCAATAGTTCACTGTGAATATTGTAAATGTGATTGCAGTGCAAACTTGTAATATAAATTGTAGTTAAAAGTTATGATAGCAGATGTTTGTGTGGGCCACGGATGGTTACTTCGTAAGCATTAGTTGGCCACATAGGCTGCAACAAAAATTTGCAGGAGCTGTGAGCCACACAAGTTGTAGTGACTAGTTATGATGATATCCATAGGCTGCAATGGTTGGAGTTGAAAACTGCATGAGTTGTATAACATGTAAGTCATAGTTGGTAATGCAATGTATA